AGTCATGATGTACTTAAAACAATTTTTTTTTAACACAGTATTTCTCTAAATGAATTATAATTTTGCATGTTGTAAGTACAGTAAAACATGACATAATGGCCCAATTATATGAAAATCTCAGGCCATTTTAAAAAATAAAAGAAATTCTCAAAGTTGACTCTTTGTACTATTCCCAACTGTAAATTCTCGTTTTTCACCTTTTAGTACGGTGACCGAGTGAGGAAAAGTCGCATATTTAAAGAGTTTAATTGTCATTCGGACTAAAAGGCTACACATCATATTATTTGTAGTTCAAAGACTAAACTTTACATTTTGACTTGTCGTCAAAAAATCGTATGGTACATTTTTTGTAAAATGGGCTTTAAAGTACGTTAGCTTATTTTAAAGAAAAATTGACATTGACATTTTAAAAGAACATTCGTAATATGCTTTCTGCTATTATATAAATTGTTGTTACACCTTATTTTAACGATTTCAAATAAAGTTTGACCAACTTTATCCGTTAAGAGTTTAACACTACGAATATTTTGATTTAATAGAGTACGTTTCAATTCAATTTCATAATTAAGTTTCACTCTAAATGTAAAGTAATCGACATATATATAATATTTTAATTAATTAGACAACAATATCAAATTCAGTTATCTCTGAGGCATTATTTTGACTTGGAATACTTTGTTGGAGTTTCACAGTTGTATTTCCAACAATTCAATCCAGATACGAGGCCTAACGCCTAATCTGATTTGAAGTTCATATATAGCCTCTTATATATACATATAAGCAATGGGAATGTGCTGCATCACTTACATTCGATTCCTGTGATATGTTTCTTGAAGCTGTAGAAATTTTGGTGTCGTATGTTAAAGCAGAATGAGAGGATAATTGGTCACTTCATTTGAGATCGTCATCTCAAATGCTACCTTATATTTTAGTTACCAACCGTACCTTCAGCATCTCTGATTCAAACCATGACTGATCCCTTTAATGTCGAATCCAATCCTCCATGTCTTTTCAATATATCATCTGGAATGCATGCTCACAGCGGTGGAGGAAGGCGTGAACATGTCTAAACATTTCATATTTAACGCTCTTTCTGAAGGTCAATTAAGTAGATTTCCTTGTCCAATTTCAAAGTCAAAATAAAAAACGTTATAAAATATGACCTCAAAAACAAACCTTAAATGAAAATCGGGTGAAATAATCTCAGGTCACATAAATCCAAAACTTGTATACAGATGTGTATTGGTTTTTGGCAAACTGCAGTGATGATGTAACAGTAGAAAATGTGCTGTCTCATCCTGTCGGTCCCATTCTAGTTTCTCTTTTTCACGATGACGGCACCATCAGAAAATCATGCAAGACTGATTTGTTGAGGCAATTTGAATCTGAAGTCACTCTGCTCTTTTTCTACCTTCCTTTAACCCATCACTCACAACTTACATCACAGATGGTATAACATTGGTTCAATGTATTGATGCTTAGAAAAATAAAACAACTATTATAAAAATATGTATCAATGCTTTACTCTAGCGCACACAGTAGCAGACGTTTTTGACCGCTACTAAACAAAAAACTCTATAAAGTCTGTTGAAAGGGAACGCCGCACAAAAAGTAAAACTTCCACCAAACTGTATCAGGTTCTAGAAGACAGAAGTATTCCTAACTGGAAAAAATTCATATCTGATAAAGAAAACAAACAGGCTGTCCTTAATTTCTTTGGTAGTTTTATCTCCAAAACTTTGACAAACCCACTATGATTCCACCTGATTGTCAGCTTTACTTATCCGGAACGTTTGGAAATCCCGAAATTGTCAAAGTCGTTACATACACTACTGTTAATGACTGTCGTGATTTGTCCAGCACTTTAGAGGAGACCGATACTCGTATGACACTCCGTGTTTTATACTCTGACACGAAGCTTAGAGAAATGGGAAAGAGCGACATAATAATTATACGGACATCTGATACGGATGTGATTGTTCTGTGTGTACACTACTACAAACAGATGACACATACAAGCGAGATGTGGTTACAGATGGGGAACATCGATAGTGTAAAGGACTTGCGAAGATTTTTTACATATTAACCAACTATGTGCCTGCCTATCTCATACTATTTGTAAACTGCTGTCTTCTGTATATGCTCATACTGGATGCGACACAACGTCGTCTCTGTTTGGAGTAGGTAAGAAATCAGTCTACAAGACTTTGAAGGACACGCACGATGATTTCAGTGGTCTGCAGAGCTTCGGGAGTACTGAAAAAAGATAAAGTCCTTACATGTGCAAAAAAGTTAGTTGCAAAGCTTAATGATCAGAAAAAAAACTTTGATTTTTTCCTTCATGATATGAATAAAATGCGCGTCAAGTTTGCCACCAGTAAAGATGTAAGTCTAGTCAGTTTGCCTCCCAGTGAAGATGAACTGAAACAGCATATTTTACGTGCTTCTTTTCAAACTAAAATTTGAACCGCATCACACATTGCTAAACCCCCTATCCCAGCACCTTTAGGGGTCAGAATTAAGCAGAAATTCAAAACCATATCCCTTGACAGATGAAACAGAAGAAACTCCTGGCTGAATTCTGTTGTTTGGACCTTTTCGAGGGTATTGACTAAATTGCAACTGTTTGCGAGGTATTTAGTGGTTTGGGTTCTTATGAATTACCTGCATGAGCTTTTGCCAAATACCGTCGCGTTCAGGGTAGTTGGCTTCAAGTAAAAACAATATTTATCATTTATTCCAGAGGTTGAATGTAACCAGGCAAGGTAACTACTGTAACTCTAACGTAATATGTGATGATCTTGGATAATAGTCTAAGGTGTGTGAAAAACGTCAGTTTTCATAAAAATTCGTTGTGCATATTTTGGATCTAAAAGCATCAGGAAAACCTTGGTCGCCTCATACGATCCACAATGCTGTGTAGCCAAAAGGTACCAAGGTTGATATTGAATTTCTAGACACAGCAAAATGTTAGAGTAGGGATGGCGGCAAAGGCAAAATCAAACTAAAAATAGTTATAAATTACGGAAAAATGGAACAAAACTGACTTCAAAACACAAATAATGCTTGATTAAGGGGTCATTTCTTTCGCAATTTTTTATGTGATGTGCCAAAAAGAAGTTATTTTGTAGGAATAGTAATTTCACAACTATCTATATGTGAAATTTCAGTATTTTGCCCTGATTAAAACAATATTAGGGTCAATTATAGCCACTCGTGAACCTCCTCCTTTGACAGCAATAAATTTAAATGGCAAACAATTTTTTCAATTTGTAAGAACAGTATAAACAAGAGATAGCTGTCAAGTTTTATGAAAATCTCAGATGATTTGAAACAGTTAATGAAATTTTTAATGTTGCCTATATGAATTTAATCCCAAATGAAAAGTCTAAATTTTACACATATTGATTAAGTTCATAACATCTGAGAGTAAAAATCTTAATGAAAATAAACTTTGCAATTTGGAAGAATAGTACATAGTGGAAACAGCTTTCAATGTTTATGAAATTCCATTTGATTTTTTAAAAAAATGGACATTTTCAAAGATGACTGTCTCATAAATTTGAACAATAGACAGTCTTGTTTCATTCCCCTATAGAACAACACAGATATTTAGGATGTGCTATATTTTGGTTGAAGCTTTTGTAGTGAGTTGAATATAATTTATCTATTTATCAAAACGGTAATGCAAGTCATTCATCATGACCTCTAATTTTTATGGTTGTATTTTGTTTGATTTTTTTGGGGGGGGGGTTAGCCTTTATGAGTGTTATGGATGTGCTTGTATGCTGCTTGTATAACGATTGTTTTTTAAACTTTAAAACATTGTGTAACGTAGGGTTATGCAACAAGATATAATTCTTTATTTGAACTATTTTTCTGTCGTTGGATTTTTTTGTTGTAAAATTTCAAAGTTAGTTTGATAAAATATCAAAAAGCATGCCTGCAATAATTCTGTGGGGTGTCTATAATTACATAGACATCACTTTCAATATTGTTCATATCAATACTTTCCATGCACCACACACACAAGCTTTTATAGCCTGTTTTTGTAGAGAGGACAGAATATAAAATTTCAATTATTTCTATGTATCATTGACAGGGAAAACAGAATTAAAGATATTATTAGAAAATAATTTCATGTCTTTAAGCTCTGTTCAACAAATAATTCTAAAATAAAACCAAAGAGTAAAATTTAGTTTTACCATTCAATATCAAAGGTTTAAAATTCATTCAAATCCTTTTAAATTATAACAGAGAGATAAATGTATCATTTAACAGGGAAATACAGAACAGATATAAAACATAAAGCAACAAACGGCGATAACAAGATAAACATTTTAGTGTACAGATACAGTTATTTAATTTAATGGTTATTTTTAACAGGTTGAAATACATGTAAATGTTAGATACAGTGAAAAAGTATTATTTAAATTATTATGAAGCTTAATAAATGTGACGCAGGTGCATGTGCATGTTTATTCTCTCTATGTTTTGAAATCAACTAAGTCTCCCACATGACGGAGTTGTCATCCATGTTTGCATGTATTATTATATACAGTATTTTGCTGACATTTTTAGAGAAATGTGACATATGCTTTTTTGTGTTTCTTTGTTAAATATTTGTTTGTTTTGTTGTGATTAAGATTGTGACACGGTTGTGACTGCTGTACCCCCTTTTTTGACATTTTTACCCATTATGTCTGTTTGTTTTATTCACTCATCGTTGTCAATATAATGGAATTTGATGCGACTGTCATACGAGTGAGAGGTTTAACGCTATAAAACCAGGTTCAATCCACCATTTTCTACATAAGATAATGCCTGTACCAAGTCAGGAATATGACAGTTGTTGTCCATTCGTTTGATGTGTTTGTGCTTTTGATTTTTCCATTTGATTAGGGACTTTCCGTTTTGAATATTCCTCGGAGTTCAGTATTTTTGTGATTTAACTTTTTGCTGTTGATTATTGGTCTGCTTAAACAATGGTTTAGAAACAATTATGCACACAGATATTTATTTTTCAAAATATATAACAAATATGAAAAAAACAAACTGTTTCTTTTGATTTGAAAGATTTCTTGGTCATCATGGTCAGTTGAAATATTTTTTTCTTAAAATTACAGTGAATTCTTATGATTGCAGAGTGATGAGTTATTTCCCCTTTCTGACAGTTTTGTAGTGCATTCTATAATGAATGTATATAAAATGAAAGTCCTGCAGAAAGACAAATATACTGAAAAAATTTCTGAATTGTTCCTTATCAAAATTTAAATAACCATATCACATACTTGAATTGGTACATGTACTTCACTTCCAGCCTATTTCGTGATTCCCAGGTATCGAAAAGAAAAAGAAGCAAACGCTATTGATATGTTTGTATTTATAGATGGGAGGCGACTTTTTTTACAGAAACTTTTACATGGGCAGAAATATTTTTGCATGATTCAAATAGATGGGCATCCTCTTTTTTAAAGATACAAGTTTTAAAAATGCAACTGGCCATCCCTCTTGTAAATATTGAACGGTCCCTTAGTATATAATTCTTTTATTTTCAGCGTTTTCCTTTATTCGTATTTGAAAGCCGTCACACATGGTTTTCCCCAGAAGATTAAAGATGTTAATGCTATCCTTTGAACATCAAGACGTTTTCTTTAAACTTATTGACAAAATTGTTTAATGCTCCCATGCATTTGGATGAACAAAAATCCAAGCGGCATATTGTACTTTAACAGCACTATACTTACAGTTTTGACAATCGAAGTTCTGCTTTTGTTAAGTTCCATATACCTTGGGAAACACAGGTACTAAAGCATTCATGTGCCTTATCTAAATGACCCATCATCTCATGGGCTACTCCAAGACAAAGGAAAGAAGTTGTTATTTGCCTTTTTCCCACTATATTGTGTCTATACCAAGTTTGTGCGTTCGCTTCCAGAGATCCCAATGACCCCATACACGACATAAATTCTCCTAAATGGTAGTTGGACAAAAACCTCAAAAAATGAGTCAATATAATAATATCCACTTGAAATGGTACGTTGTTCGTCACTTCAATGTCTAGTTCTTCTGGTATCAAAGAAGAATCACCTTCAAAGACCATGATTGTATCTACTAACAAACGCAAGATACACATCGCCGGTAGTACATCATACTTATACTTTAATTGAGTTTGATCCATATCAGCAGGGATTCTTGTAATATATGCGAAGGACGCATCTGCCTTTAAGGCACGTGATAGAATATGTGAAATGAGTTTTAATACAATATCGTACCTCTTGTGACGGTAGAAAAAAGATGCTAGAAACAACCATCCTACTTCACTAAATCCTGAATGCGAAGAAATTAGCAAACGACCTTGTTGTTGTTTAAATTGATGATATCGTAGTTTATTATTGTAATAATGAGGAGTGGTATTTTGCTGTACTTTGAGATTGTTTGATTTTGCCAAAAGAAACATGATTAACTTTGATGCAAGTTTTATCCCATCAAAACGATTTATCTTATTCAGCATCACAAAACAATTTTCGTTTTTCTCAAAATGTGTTGCTAAATAATATATCAAAGGCCGAAGCATCCTATGAATTGTCATAGAATCATGGGTAGGGTTATATATTATATGGAAATCACCAGTAAAGGTACCAGAAACACAGAAACATTGCAAACCAAGTTTATAGGCTTCTTGAAGAAGTCCAATCATTTGGATTCTGTCGTCATCTTTGTATCGATCTTCAAAAAAGTTGTTTTGGGGAATGAAATAGTGTACCAGGATAGAATATTGTGTACAGTATAACAGTCTACAGATACATGCTCTGAAGCACGACAACATGTTTTCAGGTATCCATATGTCTTTACCTGATTCCTCATATAACCAGAACAATAACGTTTTCAGAAAATAAGAGCACAATAAGCCCTTAAGTGATTCTCTTTTGTCAATTACATCTTTAAGAAGTAGTTTCATCAGGCCGTAGCATAACATTTGTGTATGACTAAAAGAGTATATAAGCAACTTTTCTGCAACCGAAAACGACATTCTCCATTCAATATGTTCATATATTGATCCTTTACAACCTATTGGCACAAATAAAACTCCAAAATTCACAACTTTAGATATTAATTTTTGTGATGGCCAATTATTCCTTGATCTTAACATCCATGACCGAGCTTGGGAAGGCCAACATTTACATCTTAAGCAACATGCTAAATCCAAACTATCATCTTCGGTGGTCAAACAAGGTCCATGTATTTTAAACAGATATCCTGGACGTGATATCCGATTCAGGCATTCAAGTTTCAACAGTTGACTAGAAAAAAAATCATCTTGACCTTCATGTACCAGAAACCACTGCATATTTCCTGGAAAAGGTACGTTTTTAGGCACACGAAGCAATGCATAACATGGGTTTGTGTTGTCAGTGTCCATTATTAATGTTGTAACATGGGTTATTTTAGCAACATTTTCCGCATCGCGTTCACTTGTACATACGACGATATCATTAAACAAATACATGATATCAACGTCACTTCCAATCATGTCTAAACCTTCAACTGCACTACCGCTACATATTTGGAAACTCGATAGACCTTTGTTGCTTATGATATCATATATGTTATAGATATTGCGTCTTAAGCGTACCATCTCATCTGTACCAAATTTCTAACATGCATAATCATACGACCTTAAAGACTCATCTTTGCTTGTTGACATGTTAAATCCTTTAAACTCTAAAAAGATCAAAAACATATATATATATCTAATATGACGTTCTACAAACGCTTTGAGTACACACCCGTGGTAAAATATGAATATATTGATATGTCAGCTGATCGTCAACGCCATGGTAAGTATTTGTTGATAGCCCATTTTTTTAAATAAAAGTAAGATAATCAATTAACTTCATCCAAACATGTCTTAGCATGTTATTGTAAATCGTTCAAGCATGTCACTAATTTAGTTTTCTTCGTCTTTTACGTCAATATTAATAGTGTGTTCAATTATGGGAACAGCAAATATTTCCCTTCACCTAGACCGCTTCGAGCCAAAAGAATTGCTGTCTTTGTCCTGTTAGAATAAAAAAAATTCATGGAGGCTTGAATTTAATTTGATTTTACTACAGGTTGGCCCTTTATTTGGATATTTCTCCCCTTGCTATCGCTCGTAAAACATTTAGCATAAAGGGCCAACCCGTGGTAACATCATAATAAATTCAAGCCCTCTTAAATCAAACTGAATACATGCATAACTCCGTGTTGCAGGCCGTACTTTGACCTATAATTGTTTACTTTTTACACATTGTGACTTGGATGGATAGTTGTCTCATTGGCACTCATACCACATCTTCTTATTTATAACTTCAGGATGATGTCGAAGTTAACATTGACTGAGATACTCACCTCTTTGATAAGAAAACATACTTGTAATCATTTACTTCATGGACGAGTTAAAAATCCCTTCCAAAAGCTGAACAGATGACAGCAAAATCGAACATAATATAGTACATGTATATATAAAATTGATATGATGCAGAACCAATTACAGCGATACTATAAACTGATATTTGATATGATACAGAAATAATTACAGCAAAACTATAAACTGATATTATACTTAGTAATTATATTGCACTTATTTAACTTTTGGCACCCATGAGGTTATATTTGGTATGTTTAAAAGAAACCAAGTCTATTTTGTACTGTGATGTAGAAAATATCAATAATTTTTCTACTTATGATTTTATACGTTAGACTATCGTTACATCTTCATAAAACATAAAACCAGTTGAAGGGCAACATTTAAGAGCTTGATGAGCATTGAAAAAATCCAAAAGTTATATCGAAATATGGCTACGGTTAAACTATGTCGGAATCAGCTACTTATACTTATATGGTCCATATATTATTGGGGAGATGAATACCCGTTACTATCAATTGTCGCAGTGTCAAGGATTATTTATTAATTCAGACTGATCAACATTATGTATGAGACAAAAAATGGTGATTCAGCAGTGCTTTTCCTTAAACAATTGGGAATCGTAAATATCAATTCCTTGTTGAAGCTTAGGAAAAAATTTTACTTTGTGAAGAACCACACTGATTCTAACAACAAATACACCGGAGATGATATCACCAAAATGCTGGACTTGTTATCGGCAACATATCAATTAATACGTTACGGTCATGCATGCTTATTTAACTGATACATAAACTGCTCCAACAAAATTATGAGAAAGAATAACTGAAAATACTACATAAAATATACGGTGACCTTCACAAATTGGTTGCCCGATGATATGTAAAATTTACCGCTTCTGTCCTACTCCCGATAGTAATTTTTTGACTGAATGGAGATTTTCATGGCATTTGATGAATGCATAACAGAAGACGCTTGCCCTGTGGAAGCACCCTGTCTCGACCATATGGTTCCCTTAGTTTTTGTGTATTTACCTTAACTTGTATCTTCGTAATGTCTTTATATGATTTCAACATCAGTAAGCTACTGTTGTCTTTAATGTATGAGTCTTAGAAACGGACACAAAAATTAAAAAAAAATACATCTAGTTTTGCTTTCCGTTATACTGCTAGTGACAATTCGAATAGACTCTTATTGTGTATTTGCAAAACAGAAATGCAGCTCAATTGTTGAAACGCAACAGCATTTGGAAACGAACATAATACATACGGAACCAAAATGTAAATCACATTTATGAAAGCCGTGTTTAGTGTTTTAGTTGAATATAAAAAGGGTAAAACCGCAAAAAGCCAGGAGTGGTCTTAGTTGCTCATGAAGGGTAAACAGGGCCTGTTCCTCAAATTGAACCCGTCGTGTTGCTCATGACAAGTATAAGTTTGGTTATAGGCAGACAAGCTCTAGAATTTATTATCAACAGGGCGATATATATGCCATATATAGGCGTAGCGAACATGTTGATACACAATATCGGTAGAGAATGATAAATATGACATTTCAAAAACAGGCATTCTTTTATGGCTCTTTTAGCCGCAAAACAGTAAGAAATATTGAACTAATGTATGTGCACTGTGCTTCTATGAATTTAACATATATTCTTAACCCGAATTAATCCAACGGGACAAATGAGAGATATACTAGTAGCCAACAGGACCAAAGAAAATCACAAAACATAATTACTTTTAAAGATAGAAAATTCAAGTAACACATTCCGTTACATTTATAAGAGCAGTTGACAACCAACATTACATGCTTTACCCGGCTATCAGAACTGCAGATTGTTTTGATAAAATATTAATCAAGCTGTGCATTTTATTGATAGCATATTAATATTCATTTAACATTACATCTACACATTTAAGGTTTCGTAAAATATTTTAAGTCCGTGTGTGACATTCTTACAACATAAGAACAATGTCTGTTATTTAATAACTGTAAAATATACGATTGAATTTTTTTCTTATCAAATACAATAATTGATTATTCACTTGAAACTTTCGCAGAGCGTGGCAATTGTAAATATCAATATGGAGTGAAAGTGAACAAAAATTTTCATGTTTCCTCATATAATTTTATGTTCCTATCCATTCATTCAAGCGGAATACCAGAAAGACAATTACATAATTTAGAACGAGTTGCGATCTTTATTGAATTGTTGTAGAATAGTTGAATTTGTGTTTGGTAAAATCTGCTGACAAAATGAATATCCCAAATCAGTCTTCCTTTGAAAGAAATGTAATACTCTTTTTTTTCCATCCAGTAGACTGATTTTAAATATCTGATTCGGCCAATTGGGTTACGAATTCTTACTGCTACCGTGATCTCTGACCTGACAATCAAATTCAGTCTTTTTCATATGAAGCATCATTATCCAAAAATGATGCATGAATAAAGGTCTTATTTATTGCTAAAAGGATGAATTTTGGATTAATTTTCCGTAAATTTGAATCAACAATCTCGACTTTTGACATATTGACTCCTTCATCCATAGAGCTCTCCGATGGCACATAAGTCGGTTTCAAAACGAAACTATGTTATCCATAAACCGAAAAATTGCTGTCCGGACCACAATGAGCCGGACAATCAAACATCTTGACATTATTTGTAATCTTTAAAAAAAACTTTTTGCACAAATGACAGTAAAAAATGACTTTCTTTGATTAACTGTTAAAATAATTTGGGAACAAAGTAATTCATAAGCCAATGAAGGGTGGCTGATATTTGTAAACTAAAATTGTGTATTATTTCTCCGTTTAAAAACCAAACAGTGTATTGGTAAACATTTTTACAACTTTTGTTTATGGTTGCCCTTTTCCAACATCTGCCGTAAGTGTTTTTTTGGTCTGCTATTCATGATAACAAAAAACATGTTGAACGGCCACCTTCAATCGTATATGAAGTAATTAAATAACAAAAACAGTTCTTCTTTTGTAACAAGATTGTACTGGGCCTTAATATATTTTACAACACCTTAAACTTGACGATCAAATTGTACTTTTTCTAGATACGTGTGAAACCACGACTTTTTTTTTTTTTGGTATTCTTGTTTATAAGTGCAGTCCTTACCTTACTTCTATTTGAAATGGACACAAATCTTTTTGTATCAGCAATGCGTGCTGTAAAAAAGAAGCACAAAAGTGTTGAAAACAGTAAACATTGCTAATAAAATTGCATACTTGTCACAAGAAAAACAATCGTAGGATCTGTATACAGATTCCATCTGCAGTAGAGATACCCAGTTAAGGGTTGTAAACTGTGACATCTATTCTTTCATTTCAGGTTAAAACTCGTTTTTTTACTCTACATATTGAAGTACAAATATGAATTCAAATAGATCAGGTTTCAATCGAAAATATTAAGACAACACTTTATAAATGTCATGCTTCCGAAGCGCTTTTCTGGATTTACCTTCTTCAGGAACGCCCAAAGCCGACTATTTGAAAGCCAATGATGAACAAAACCGAAACAGTTAAAGACTCGGTATACTGTAATATGTCTGCTGAGCTTTCTATACTTATCTTTTTTGTATTGCGGCTTTCTGGTTATCTAATGTCTGGAGTATGTCTGATGAAATAATCCAATCTCTTTCTGTTGACAAGCCACGAGCCACGTACTCCTGTACGAGTATTAGAGTAACATGAGATAATGGGCTTGACAATACGTCTACTTCATATCAAACAGCCTTTAACAAAAATTCACATGGATCTCCATTTATGATTAACTGTTATTATTGAATTATCAAATCTAGATCACAAAATTATTTTTAACTTAAACTTTAACTTCATTACTCGTCAAAATCCATATTAAATATCAGTACATTGTGATGGAGTTTTGGCTAAACTTTCATGCTGATATTGCATTTCCTTCATATCATTTACAGATATTTCCGCCAGTCGGATCGATCACTTCCTTGTCAAGACAAAAATCTATCGTACACTAGAAATATTCTAAATCTAGGTAAACTAGTTGAAAGTATTTTATAGATATCCTCAATTAGAAAACATGTCAACTTCGTTATCATGGCTATGTTATCACTTAGTGATACATAAATAGCAATACGTCCCAAACATTGGCCTGCTCTCGTGTCCCTTTCTGACAAGACTTAGAAACACAGTTCTTAAAAGGCAAATGCTATAATTTTCTTCGTACAACGCGCCTTTTCTGATAGTATTCATCACTACCCGATCGTATGTTTGGAAAGCCAACGAATGAAAGGAACACTTATGAATTTTGTTCTTTCGAATCGCTTTTCTGCGTTTACGTTTATCAGAAACATTTAAACCTAAACATTTAAAGCAATTATAAAACATCTGAGATCAGAAAACCGAACGGTTAAAAACAGCCCAAATAACCAAAGTCAACATTACCAAGGGAATTTCAACACAATTACATATTTTTGTGAACTTGAAGTTATCAAACAAACTGTACCATATAACACATGTCATTACGGAAAAAAGTATAACAAAAATACCGAACTCCCAGATAAATTCAAAAAGGGGAAGTCCATAAAAAATGACGAAATCAAACGTTAGACTTTATTAACCAAGCATTGGCAATCGGGCGGATGGTACGCTCGGGAACTTAAATTAAATCGAGAAATTGCCAATTTTTCGGAGGCGGGATCAATACACCGTTATTTACACATCAGGCCGTATTGGTTACCGGATTGATCCTTTGTTTTTCTATTCTTTTAAAATGTACTGTAAAACAGATTCATCCTATTTCAAGAGTTGTATAAATGGTTTTGGTTGTGTTGTCTAGGTCTGTTTTGTTTAATTTCAGTGCTCTGTATTTGTTTTTCAAAGTTTTTTTGTACTGACAATTATTTCAGAATCACGTTTTCAAAGCATCAATTTTAGTATATGAATCTTTCGTGGATATTCAACACACAGACACTATAATATTACCACAATTTAAATCACCTCTTTTAAACACAAAATGTCTTCAAAATCAAGTCTCAGAGTTCAACTTCAACATTTACCCATAACTATCAATTTATTTCGATATCGCTGATATAAAAAGAAAAGCATTTCTTCCTTCGCAAACTCAGTTGCCAATGAAAGCTTGGATACTATCAATATAAAAAAAAAGTCATCAATGATACGGGGCTTATATTTTGAACACCAGATCGGCAATTCGTTTTCATAAGACTTCTTATTATCGCTCGAATCACAACAGTTGGTAGGCCGTTATGGAATAGCCGTTTCATAAATGATAGCGGTTATGTTCCAAATGTCGTAACTACAATCCTGTCACCTTTTCTCCGAATGTGACCTACCGAATTAGACTGATTATCGAGTTTGTACTAACATGAGCAACACGACGGGTGCCACATGTGGAGCAGGATCCGTTTACCCTTCCGGAGCACCTGAGATCACCCCAAGTTTTTTGATGGTTCTTGTTGCTCAGTCCTTAGTTTTCTATGTTGTGTTTTGTGTACTGTTGTTTGTCTGTTTGTCTTTTTGCTTTTAGCCATTGCGTTGTCAGTTTTATTTTCGACTTATGAATGTTTGAATGTCCCTTTGGTATCTTTTGCCTCTCTTTTAGAAGTCTGTTTTGATTAAAACGTATGAAACCGATTATAGTACGAACGACAAGGTCACATGTTTCTGAATTAATCTTCTTTTTACAGAATTTGTTACTAATAATGACCTATATATGTAATAGTCTAATCTCATATGTAGTCAACTTTACTCGCTTTAGCTTAGACTTTTAATTTAATAAAATCGTTTTTCATTCATTTGATGTGTTTGAGCTTTTGATTTTGCCATTTGATAAGGAACTTACTGATTTGAATTTTCCTTGGAGTTTGGTATTTCTATTATTTTACTTTTTTCATGATAAACAGAATATCTATACTGATGGACTTTAAAAACGAAAACTAGATTATTATTTATATTTCCATGCTTAAATATGCAATAATTGTAAAATAAAAATATATAAACATACATTTCATTCATTACTTCATTGTCTAAATAAAGTTTTCAGTTGAAATGATAAGGTCATGTTTTAATGTACAAATCATTCAGTTTGCACTGAAACCCTGATATTTGTACTTTCGGTACATTTCACATATGTCTTATTTGTCAGTATAGTCGAGTTAATTTCCATTTTCCATGGATAAAGTATTGTGTTAGTCCAAATGATTATGACGTCCTCACAGCATATATTTAAAATAGCCTTTCATTATTGTCATAATCATGATAATTGTTTGGACTAGTATTGTGAAAATAATTGTATGGATTTCAAGATTATATATTCGTTACAAAATTACGTCACTGTTTGTGATGTCCTATGCTGTCTGTCGTTAAAGGAAGATGTTCGTTGTTATTCTGCGGTTTACATGTTGTAACGACTATTATATTATTTATTTGTGCGTTTCTCTGTGCTGAGTGTTCTTGCGTTTGTTTGTGCTGTATTTTTGGCACGTAGTGTTGTCATTTTAGCGTGATATTTTAACATTGTCATATAAGCGGGAGGTTTGGCTAGCCATAAAACCAGGTTCAACCCACCATTTTTTTCTCAAAATGTCCTGTACCAAGTCAGGAATATGACAGTTGTTATCAAATAGTTCGTTTCTATGTCTGTTGGCGTTTGTTTTTGTTGCACTTCAGTGTTTGTTTCTGTTGTTCCGTTGTTTTCTTATTATAGTTGATGTGTATCCCTCGGTTTTAGTTTGGATCCCCGATTTGTTTTTTCTCTCAATCGGTTGATGACTTTTAAACAGCGGTATACTACTGTTGTCTTCATTTCTCTTTATCAATTGATGTGTCATTGTCGAAGGCAGTAACTGCTTGTAGCCAACTTCTAAACGATTGGAAGAAAATTCAATAAGTTCTTTTGTGCATGG